ATGTATCTTTACTTGATTGGATACAATCAACACTCTTACACTGTCCATAACTAGAAAATGATACACAAAACATAATGAATTAATGTAACTTACAAAGCACACACCACAATTACAAAAAACTAGAAAGGGATGATTCCAAAATGTTGTACATTATCAAAACTAACAAAAATATCCCGAAAATACAAAAATAAAATAAAATTGGGAATACAAAATACATACTAACTAACGCACAAAATTCATACACATTTACAAATCTATTCAATATCAATACACATATTAAATGAATTTTGAATACAAAAAAAATTAGATCAAACTGCAATCTATCATAAAATTATTGAAAAAAATGGTTCTTTAATAATTGCAACTGAACATGCAAAAATACTGAACATGCAAAAATAATTAACCACCTCTTCGTCAATTATTTGGTCTTCGCCATCCTTTTCAAGTTCACCACGAGTAGACAAAGATTCTAGAGAATTTGAGGAAGGTTTTGCACACCGATTGGGTCCTGTAAATGTTCCGATCGTCTCTCTTCCATCATTTTAGCAGTGGATCCTACATTATCCGCTATTTCATGAGTAGTACGTAGATTAAAGGATGGGAAATCGTTAGAAATTTGATGATTAAGTTGGATACCTCTAGTAAGTCTCTTAGATTCAACCATTGGAGAGTGTTTTAGAGGTTATGAAACCCTAACCGAGATTTCAACTACAAACAACAATTCTGAACGATTTAAACAAAAATAAAATCAGAAAACAAATCTAAAAATAGGATAAAGATGAATACATTAATCAAAGAGATTGTTGTGAATCCAATTTTTGAAAAAAAAAACCAAAAATGACGGAAGAGAGATAGGCGGAATTTGAATAATGAAGGAGAATTGGAAGAGGTAAATTTGAGAGAGAGAAAATAATTAATTTAACATATGAGAGAGAAGTAATTGGAAAACGTGTATTCAATGTGGGTTAAAATATGAAGTAAATTAGGATACACAATGTTTTTTTAAATAATGACATTTTTGACATTTTTACTAATATTTATAAAGTATGGAGGTTTTTACTAATTATGTTAGGTTTTTTGACTAGTTTGCTAATTATTCCTTTTTTTAATCATTGTAATTACTTGTCAATTCGAAAATTTGAGTCAATTATCAATATAGTGTATTGTTATTTATTTAATTTTGTAATAATTATAACTATATATATATACTAAATATACTATTTAATATAATAGAATACTTACATTATATTATTTATATACTTCTAATATATACTAAAGATGCACACAATAGACTATCTATTATATTAAAATACTCACATTATTTATATATATATATTTCTAATATATATTAAATATACACACAACATACTATCTAATATAATAGATTACTTACATTATATATATATACACACATATACTTCTAATATACACTATATAGTTGTTGGGCCAACTGACACTTTCTGAAAAAGTGGCCCAACGGATATCACTCAAAAGAAATTTTTTTAATCATCGAGCTGGTTTGGTCTGGTGCACTGGTGGTCCACGTACTGGTCTCATACTAGGCTGGCCTTACTGGCCTGTGAGTGAAAATAATTTGAATCGGCCCACCCCACTAATATAGGGGGTTAGCTGTGATATATCGTGAGCTTATGGTATTGTTGATGCATTTCACTTGAATTTTGTGTGAGTTTTGGGGATTTTGTTATTGGATATGATGCTTTTTATCTAATATTTGTAGGGAATAGGTTCGGAAGCAGTTGAGAGAAAATAGAACTGAAATAGCAGAGTTGGCAGTCGACGAAGCCCAACCACGGATAGTCGTTTGATTTACGGGTCATAGGTAGGGAGGTGTAAATGTGAGTTCAAGGAAGTCTAACTAAGTGTGGAACCACGGAGGCAAACGATGCCTCGTAGACTGTATGACAGACCGTAGATTGATGGTCGTCATTTGATCAAGAGAATTGAAGTTCCAGTACTTGAACTATGGAAGAACAGGACGGACCTACACCAATCCACGTATCGTAGGTGGAAACCGTCGTTTGAAGAGCTTGAAAAGTTTGACCAATTGTTGACCCACGGAGGTGAACCACATATTGTAGGTTGATCCATGGTCCGTAGGTCGTGTCGTCGATCGAACTCGCGTCTGGGCTAATATTTCCTTATTTTGTTTCCTACTTGGCTTAGGATTTATATACTATAAGTATAGGTTGTAATTTACGTTTGTGAGAGTTAGACCTTTTTGGAGACTATTGTTCTAAGCTTTTGGAATTATTTTGCAAACTTTTTAGCAATTTAATCCTTGAAGCTCATTTATACAATTTACTTTTGATTTTCAATTCAAGATTTCAGTATTCATCTACTTTGATTGTAATTTCATTATTCTTCTTAGCAATAATATGAATTGTGAATTCTCAAGCATGAGTAGCAAAATCCACAACTAGGGCTGTGGGAACCATGAGCAATTAACAACCTATGACTAATAGAGTAGTAATTCTTGAATAGTGTTTATGCATGTATTGTTAGTCTTTTCGTTTAGAATGCTTTCTAGCGGTGCGAAACATTAGAACTCGCCTAATTCTTACTTGACGGACCAAGGGGGTAATGAATGATAAAATGATTAAACAACAGAGATTTAGGTAAGGAATTGTTGCTAATAGCCTGACCTTAATCAATTGGTGTGAGGGTTAATACCCAACTTAGTTGACGCGAGGGCTAATCCAGGGTTAAAGGTAAGGGTTAGTAAAGTAGACACCTATAGACTTACCAAGTTGCGAGGTGAAATTCCCTACTTGGAGGACCAATCACTTAGGGATATCAAACTTGCATGTCAAACACTAGGACGGAGTTATTATGATTAGGAATACTGCGTTAAGATCTTTTGGGGAACACTTATACCATAGTTTCCATCTCATATTAATATCTCAAACTGCAAATCCTATTTACTTGTTATTTATTGATACAAATCAACAATATGTTATTTTATTTACAAATCCCCCCTTTGTTACTTTTCTCGAAAATAGTTTGACTAAACCTAGATAAATGTGAGTTAGCTTAAGTCTAAACCATATTCCTCGTGGGATCGACCTTAACCTAAAAGTTAGGTTCTTTATTTGGCAACGATCGTTTATACTTCTTTCAGGAGGTGTAATTAGGGAGTATCAAATTTTGGCGCCGCTGCTGGGAAATATGACTTTTAGATTAAACTAACTTCATTATTGAACTTTAGTCAAGTATTTCCTGATTTTACGCTTTTGTTTTGCTTTGGTTTTCTATAGGTCTTACCTCTTATGTATGCCAAGTACACAGAGTCGAGGTGAACCCTTGACCTCATACGATCCTGAATTGAGAAGAACTTTGAGAAGAATGGCTAATCTTAGGGTACAAAATAATCCAATTTGAGAGGGTCAAGGAGATGGAGCTGATTTGCAACCTCCTGGAGTTTTAAATGTACCTGTTCATGTTCAGGGTGGTAATCTAGTTGAAAATGCAGAAAGAGTACATAACTAGCAGGCACCGAGAGGTCGTGATAACTACAGAGTTTACTATGATTCAGTTGAGTCAACCGGTGCTATTGTTCTCCCTCCACTACCTCCGGGACATATTTTGTGGTAACCAACAGTCTTATGCAAATGCTTACAACAAGAGGGCTGGTTGCAGGGTTACCTTCGGAAGATCCATATGCTCACATGACTAAATTGAAGAGTGTCGGTATGAGTGGCTTGTGACGACCAGACTTAGACATGGACATCATAGGTTTAAGAGTATTCCCACTCTCACTGATATGAAATGCATCTGTGTGGTTTTCTGAGCTGCCATACAATTCAATATATACATAAGACCAACTGCACAGGGTGTGTATGGCAAGATATTTTCCAGTGTCCAAGAAGTTGAATCTGAAGGATAAACTGAATAACTTCATGGCACTACCCGGAGAGTCAATGAGTAGTTCTTGCGATAGATTCACTAGATTTACGAGGAGTGTGCCCAACCACCGCATAGATGATGAGTCACTGAAAGAGTACTTCAACAGAGGACATGATGACAATAGAAAGGCTGTGCTAGATACTACTGCTTGATGATATTATGGTGAATGCACTTCTGAGGAGATTGCTGAGAAACTCGAGAGGATCTCCAAGAACAATAAGGCATGGAGCACTAGAAAGGCAAATACTGGTAGAAGCACGTTTGCTGTCCAAACTGCACCAAATCAATCAAATGATGATATTCGTGAGGAGATGGCTCAAATGAGGACTGAAATTGGTTTGGTATTAAAGTATGTGAGTGGAAGTGCGATAGAGAAAGTGAATGTTGTGAATTACCAACCTAGAGCACCGCCAGTTGATGAGTACTTTTATGAGAAAGATGCGAACTTGGTAAATAATTAGACAGGGGGTTTCGAGCCAATGCCCAAGGTTCCAAATCGGATAATTGGTCTACGGTCAAGGAAACCAAGGTCAGAACTATGGTAACTACAACCGTGAGGGAAACTATGTCCGAGATGGGAACTTTAACCGCGACAACAACTACAATCAGAATGGTTATGACAACATGTTTGAGAGGAGTGGGCCCTATGTTCCACTTGGTAATAGAGATGCTGATCAAGTATGACTCGCATGGAAGAGATGATGCAAAAGATGATGAAGAGGTTTGAAGCGACTGATTATAATGTGAAGGAGATGCGTAATGACTTGTTTGGAATTGACCAAAAAGTTGATGTCCATGCAGTATCGATCAAGAAACTTGAGTAGCAGTTTGGTTAGTTGTCCACTATGGTGAACCCACGTCAGTCAGCAACCCTTCCTAGCAACATGGTTCAGAATCTGAAAAATGATGGTCATTGTATGGTGGTCACTACTCGAGGTGGAAAGCAGATGGTAGATCCTCCCATGCTGACCGAGGTGAAAAGTGTACCACAGAGAGGTGAGAATGAAGATGTGATATTTGAGGAGCCAGTTGTTGAAGCATAGAAGGAAATTGAGGTGACCCAAAAACTTATTCCCATGCCTAGACCTCCACCTCCCTTTCCAGAGAGGTTGGTGAAAAAGACAGAAGAAGGAAAATACCGCAGGTTTATAGCTATGTTGAAACAATTTTCCATCAATGCTCCGCTGATAGAAGCATTGGAGAAAATGCCTAGGTATTCGAAGTTCATGAAGGATTTGGTGACCAAAAAGAGGGCTGCCAGTTTTGAAAGTGAAGACAAGTTGCAGCATTGTAGCGCCATTGCTACTAGGTTACTTGTACAAAATAAAAAGGATCCTAGTGCTTTCACTATTCTATGTACAATTGGTATGTTGCACTTTGCAAAGGCCTTGTGTGACTTAGGTGCTAGCAGTAACTTGATGCCAATGTCGATTAGAAAAAGTTGGGTTTGGGAGCTCCCAAGCTGACTGTGATGCGTTTATTTATGACTGATAGAACTGTGAAGAAACCTATTGGAGTGCTCCAAGATGTCCTTGTGAAAGTTGAGTCATTCATCTTTTCGGTGGGCTTTGTGATACTGGATTGAGAGGTTGATTTTGAGGTCCCCATCATCTTTGGGAGACCATTTCTTACTACTGGGTGTGGATTGGTTTATATGGAGAGAGGGCAGATGAAGTTTTGGTTGAACAATAAAGAGGTAACTTTTAATAACTGTCGGTCTATGAAGCATGAAAGTGATCTTAAGTTGGTGTCGGTAGTCAATCATACTGTGGAGCAAGAATCAGAAGTGGCTATTGAAGAGAGGTTAGGTGTTGAAGCACTAGCAGCTGTGATAATAAATTTTGATGGGATGGAATTGATGACTATGATGAGTTAGTTGATGCGCTTGATGGGGTCAGTTTCGTTTCAAACCAAAGAAGCTTGACTTAGACATGAAGAATCGAGACACTCCTCCAGCATGACCATCCATTGATGAGCCTCCGAAGTTGGAACTGAAGGTTCTTCCATCTTACTTGCGGGATGTATTTTTGGGCCAGAATAACACGTTGCCAGTTATTATTGCTGCTGATCTGAGTGAAGGGCAAGTAGAGGCTTTGACATCGGTATTGAAGCGGTTTAAAAGGGATATAGGTTGGACCATTGCAGATATATTAGGATTCCACCGGGCATTTGTTCTCATAAGAGTCAACTCACACCGGACAACAAACCAAGTGTTGAATATCAACGAAGACTGAACCGCCCGATGCAAGAAGTTGTGAAGAAGAAGATCAATAAGTAGTTAGATGTAGGTGTTACATTTCCCATTGCTGATAGTAGTTGGTTTTGCCCAGTTCAATGTGTGCCACAGAAAGGCGGAATCACTGTGGTTCCCAATGCTAAAAATGAGCTTGTTCCAATAAGGCTGATCACTGGTTGGAGAGTGTGTATGGATTATCGCAAGTTGAATGCATCGACTGAGAAATACCACTTTCCAATACCGTTCATGGATCAGATGTTAGATCGTCTCGCTGGAAAGGGTTGGTATTGTTTTCTAGATGGGTACTCGGGCTACAATCATATCTCCATAGCTCCAGAGGATCAAAAGAAGACTACTTTCACTTTCCCTGAGGAGACTTTTGCATTCAAGAGAATGTCGTTTGGTCTATGTAATGCTCCGATGACTTTTCAGCGTTGCATGATGTCTATGTTTTCTGAAATGGTGGAAGAAACTATTGAGGTATTTATAGATGACTTCTCTATAGTAGGTGACTAGTTTGATGACTGTCTGACTCATTTGGCTGAGGTGCTAAAATGGTGCGAAGAGTGCAATCTGGTGCTCAACTAGGAAAAGTGCCACTTCATGGTGAAAGAGGGTATAGTTCTGGGCCATCGGATTTCATAGAAAGGAATTGAGGTTGATCTAGCTAAGGTTGAGGTGATAGAAAAACTTCCACCACCCATCTCTGTAAAGGGTGTAAGGAGTTTTGTTGGACATGCAGGTTTCTATAGGAGGTTCGTAAAGGATTTCTGTAAAATTGCACACCCATTCTGCAAGCTACTTGAGAAGGAATCTAAATTTGAGTTTGATGATGCTTGTGTGAGAGCATTTGTGGAGTTGAAGGAGAAGTTGACTACTACACCTATCTTTATTTCATCGGATTAGGGACAACCGTTTGAAGGGATGTGTGATGCGAGTGGGGTGGTGCTTGGCGTAGTATTGGGACAGAGGCGAGAGAAGATTCTTCATCCTATATATTATGCAAGTAAAGCCTTAAATATTTCTCAAAAGAACTACATTGTTACGGAACAAGAGTTGCTTGCTGTGGTTTTCACATTCGAAAAGTTTAGGTCCTATTTGCTTGGCACTAAGGTTATTGTGCATAACGATCATTCTGCATTGACATATCTGATGGCTAAGAATGATGCAAAACCAAGATTGAGTAGATGGGTACTTCTACTGCAAGAGTTCGATTTTGAGGTAAAGGATAGAAATGGGACAACAAATTAAGTCGCCGATCACTTGTCCAGATGGGAAGAGGAAGCTATGATCAAGCTAGAGGATGGAGTTGAGATTAATGATACATTCCCCAATAAGCAGGTATTGGCTGCTTCTTATGACCTGATTCCTTGGTTCGCAGATTTTGCTAATTATTTGGCAAGTGATTTGGTGCCTTCGGATCTTACATTTCACCAAAGAAAAAAAAATCATGTCTGATGTGAAGAAATTCTTTTGGGAAGAGGCTTACTTGTTCCGTGTTTGAGCTGATGGGATTATTCGTCGTTGTGTGTCTGAGGTTGAAATGATGAGTATACTTGAGGCGTGTCATTCGTCGCTTGTTGATGGGCACCATAGTGGTATTCAGACTGCTCACTAGATTCTGCAGTGTGGGTATTACTGGCCTACTATCCACCAAGATGCTCATGATTTCGCTTAGTCATGTGATCATTGTCAAAGAGAAGGTGGAATTTTGAGGAAGCAAGGACTACCAATGAACATGATATTTTGTAATTGACCTATTCGATGTTTGGGGTTTTTACTTCATGGGTCCGTTTGTGGGTTCGCATGGGATGAAGTATATTCTTGTTACAGTTGACTATGTATCAAAATGGGTGGAAGAAATTGCGCTTTCAAACACTGAGGGAAATAGTGTCACCGCATTCCTGAAAAAGAATATCTTCTCCAGATTTGGTACACTTGGGGAAATTATCAGCGAAGAAGGTTCTCACTTTTGCAATAAGTGTTTCAAGGCTTTGCTTGAGAAGTTTGGTGTTTGTCACAGCGTAGCAACTCTGTATCATCCGCAGTCTAGTGTGCAGGTAGAAGTGTAAAACAGAGAGATAAAATAGATCCTTGCAAAGACTGTAAATGCCAGCATAACTGATTGGTCAAGAAGGCTTGATGATGCTCTAGAGGCCTATGACACTGCATTCAAGACTCCCATATGTATGTCACCCTACCAACTTGTATATGGGAAGTCATGTCATTTTCCTATAGAGTTAGAGCACAAAGCGATGAGGGAGCTCAATAAGCTAAAATCTGGATTGGGATGCCACATCAAGTCAAAGAATGTAATAGATGAATAAGCTGGATGAGTTTCGCCTGAAAGCATATGAAAGTTCAACATTTTACAAAGAGAAGCTGAAGAAGTACCATGATCAAAAGATCGACAAGCGTGAATTCGCTCGCGGTGATTTGGTATTATTATTTAACTCAAGGTTGTGCTTGTTTCCTGTCAAACTCAAGTCCAAGTGGACCGGGCCACTCAAAGTAACCCAAGTATTTCCACATGGAGTGATTGAATTCAAGAAAAAGGAAGGAACGAGGTTAAAGGTGAACGGTCAAAGGATAAAGATCTACTTGGGGAAATCTGAGAGTGTCAATGAGGTGATAGATGATTAGGGTCTTGATGAAGTCTGAGTAATCAAGGTGTCTGCGTCGTGCCGCGATGTTCAATAAAGCGCTGCGTAGGAGGCAACCCAAGATGTAAAATCTATCCAACTATAGGAGTTTTTTTTCGATATAGGGAGTTTTCTTAATTTTTTAGTTTTCTAGACAAATTTATTTATTTATTTTGAGTTTTAGTGTTGGCTAGATAAGAGTTGAATAGGGTTCGTGTCTGAAAAGTGTCTAGAAAATGCAAAAATGAAGCCCAAATGTTTGCTACGTGTGAAGGAAAGAAAAGGAAAAAACCTGCAGAATTTAAGCTGATGCAGTGGTCTACGGTTCCCATCGACGGTCCGTCATTCCATCGATGGACCATGGTTGGCATCCGTAGATCCCAGGTATATTTTCTGAAATTAGCTAAGTGTTTGGGAGAACTACGGAACCCATCAACGGATCGTCGATTGAATGACGGACCGTCAATGGGCTTTCGTTGATCCAACCTAGGGCTAAAAGTCGACTCGACCCGGACCCCTTCTAAATAAAATCCCTCATATTTTAAACATCCCCTATTTCCCTCTTTCTTCCCCAACCGTTAAAACTCTCCCAATAACCACCTCTAAACATTCCCAATCCTCTGTTCCACCAAATCACTCATGTTCTTTCCCTAAATCTTCCAGATCTCTTTCCAATCCTTCTTTTTCTTTTCTCTCCCCAATTTTCCTCTGTTCTCCATAATACTTCTCATGGTCCGGGCTCGGTGTCAAAGTTTGGTTAAGGAATTAGGGATTCACTGTAGTACACACTCACCAACTTCAGTTTACTTGTAAGGTAAGCGATTTCAAGAACTCTGAACTTGTCATTGTTTTTCATTGAAATCACGAAGTTGAACTTGACCTTGGGTATGATTTGCTTGTTTAAAATTTGAAACATTAGTTCTAATACACCCTTGGGATGATGGTGTGTGAGTGTGTTGTCAATTTGATTTGAAAATTGGGTCCGACCTATCTAGTTGAAAGTTTTGACTTAGGGCTTCATTTTCTCAATATTGGAAATTTCAAATTTGCATGATTGAGAACCTAAGGATGATAAAATATCATGAATTATGTTGAAATACATAGTGTAGGTGTTAAAAATGGACTGTGATTGGAAATTGTAATTTATGCCTGATAAAACTTGGCAGAGGTTGGCACACTGGTCAGTGCCCATGATCCATGGACCATTGTTTGACCTACGGTCCGTGGTCTGGGTTTCGTCGTTCCACACATGCAAAGCACTGCTCAAGTGGTGAATCAGGGTATGGACTACGGTCCGTCGTTTGATCGAAGGACCGTTCTACATGACTGTGGTTCCAACTTTAGTGACCTAAAATTGACTTCCTAACCTATGGAGGGGTACCAACGGTCCGTTGTTCCATCGACGGTCCGTAGGTACCCATCATAGGTCCTGAAAACAGACACTGCCTACATTTTTTTAAATTTTTTTATATGAGTCCAAAACTTGCTCTAAATTTTTTCTTGGGTACTTTTTCTTTCTTGAAGTACTAACTAGTCTTCTATAGGTACCATGACGCTGAAACAAGCACCTATTTACTCAAGGAAGGGAAAGTCTAAGTGTGTCGCCCTATCCAGCTTCCTGATGAATGAGTCCAGTGAGCATGAGTATGTCCCGGAGACCACCAGAGGCTCCCCTACTACCCCCGTGACTATGAAGAACAGAGCTAAGCAGGTAATTTCATCGAGTGACAAGGTTGAGGTCACTGCCCCTAGTCTGAGGAGGGGTCCCCACCTGCAGGAGAGTCGCAGTCTGGCTCCGAGTTGCATTCCGACTCTAGTTCCAGTGGTACATCCGCTTCTGCCTCCGATGCCACGAGCACCGAGGATGCTTAGGACCCCCCAATGTTAAAGTTGAGCCGATTCACATCGCAACGGAGCTGAACAAGTAGTGTGTCAAGGGACAGCACTAGATATACGTTGATGGGAAAGCACTAAATGAGCATCGGAGGGTAGCTCGTGTCATGGCCCGAGCCTACACCCTAGGCGGGACTGGCACTCGAGAACCATTGCTGGCCCCAAGCAAACCCTTGGTCTGACTTACTTACTCAGTGGAAGACTATATGCAATAAGAAAGGAATTCAAATGCTAAACAACTTAACTGTTTCAAACTGAACTCATAATGTTTTGAAAATAAACATTTAATTTGGCCAAAATGGCAACTCAAATTTGAAGATAAATCAATAACAAAATGATGACGAATGAACTACCATCTGACTGACTATCTATGAAGCCTCTAAAACAACTGAGATGGATGTCGAGACAGGCCCACGACATCCTAATGAACTATCTAATACTGAAAGTAAACAAAAGGGATCCT